AATTTGTGATCCCTCTTAAATAGAAGCCCAGAAATTATATTTGTTATTCACTAGAAGAGACTTAGGACTCAATCTGCATCTCAGCATTCCGGACTCCGCTGAGTTCAATAACAGATTACTTTGATAGCCACCATAATAACATCACAGATTGCTCTGTTGTATCCAAAGTAAAGTCAATATGAAAGTAGTGTGAAAAAATGTATGTACTTGGGTGCCAAATAATTAGTCTACCAAGTTTCCATAATAGAGTTGCCCTGGTGGTTCTAGAGCTAGTCATGATTTGCTCTGATCTTATCTGCTTATCTAAGTTTGTAGTTAAAAATTGACCATTAAAAAATATTACACATATTATGAATAAATGCCTGGTGTAGATACTTGAAAATGTATCTATAATTCATCATAATTAATGAAAAGTCATTATGTCACACTTAATATGCATTATGAAAATACAGTTTTGAAAATGGAAAACCCTTACTGTAGCTCGTAGACCATTATTCTTTATGTAGCTTGGAATCTTGTACTGCCTAAACAAAACAAAACAGAGACTGAAGGAGACAGGGGGCAAAGTCCAAGAATTCTGGCTTTCGTTTATAAGCAGAAGTACATAAGTGGAAAGTGCTTGATAAGGACCATATTCTGGGTCTAATGATTGCTTGGCTCATCTTCTTTTATGGTGGAATAAATATTCATTTCAACTAATGCTGGTTTTATGGCTATATTTACTTACTCTTACTTTGTCTAAATAAGTAGATAAAACGTCATTCTGAAGATCTACCACAATGTCGACATTGACCAACTATATCGTAAATGTTTAATGGTAATGATTAAAGTTAAGTCTTTAATATTGGTTTGGAAATCACTTAAGCAAGGGAGTTCAGAATGAGTCTTTTAAATGTATGTTTAAAAGAGAAGTGCAGAGTGTATAAGATTAACTCCATAAATTAAAATCTTTAATAGAACATTACTGGACACACTAATAAAGCCAAGTCAGTGTATTGTAGATTATTTCATCCCAGATATGAATCTGCTCCCCAGAGGAACAATTTAATGTCTTTTGTTTCTAAAGAAATTCCGCTTCATAATGAATATAAGTAATTTCCTGGGGTCAGTCTGGGTTTTACTAACAACTGAAACAGAACTGTGAAACCTATTTCTGAAGTGCATGAACTACGGCATCTTGGGGCAAATATAATGGTGGCAGATATGTAAACCAGGAACAAAACAGGAATACTGTTTATTGATTTTTTTTTTTCACCAGCTTCATAAAAACGTAAAATAAATATTTAATGACCATGTGAATTGCAACTTATTCTATTTGCATCTGGTGACTTACCATTTTCTGAGTGTCCATCATTTTGTGACTCAGGCCTTTTTTTGCACTTTTGCTATATGTTTATTTTCTGTTTGTTTTATCATTACTTGTCCCCATACATATTATGCAGTATATCATATTTTTAAAGGACAGTTAGGGCTTTTTTATATCCTACACATATGCTTAAAGGGATTCTATAGTGTCAGGAAGACAAACGCCTTTCTTGGCACTATAGGGTTCTGCAATGCCCCCCTACCTCGCGCCCCCCCTCATTCGGTGCTTAAGGGGTTAAAACCCCCTCAGTTACTTACTTGAATCCAGGGTCAATGTCCCTCAGCCCTGGGTCAGGCTCCGTCCACGCTTCGCCCACGCTGACATCAGCGGTGGGGATCTAATGCGCATACACGGCAATGGCCACGCTCACATTAGGATTTCCATTGGGAAAGCATTATTCAATGCTTTCCTATGGGGGAAGATCTGACACTGGAGGTCCTCATGCAGAGCGTGAGGAAGTCCAATGTCACATAACGGACCAAAGGTCTGTTTGGATTCCAGAAGGCCCTCTAGTGGCTGAGTTAACCCTCAGAGGTAATTATTGCAGTTTCTCAGAAACTGCAATAATTACCACTGTAGGGTTAAGGGACATGGGACAATGCACACAGACCACTTCAAAAATCTGAAGTGGTCCGGGTGGCTAAAGTGTCCCTTTAAGACAACATTACTTAGAGGAAACATATAAGAAATGGAAAGAAAAGGAAAATAAAAACACTTTTTATTTTGCAGTTTTGCGCCTAATAATATCTACACAACTAGTGCAACTTTAAAAAAACAACAAACAAACAAACAAATCCTTACAATATATTCACTTATTAGGTCCCAATTTTTAGAAAAAGCCTTGTATGTCTAGATTTTCTTTTTATTTCTTCAAATCTTTATTTAGTGACTCACAGGTAGTGCAACAAAATAGTAACATTGTGATAGTAGGCTTAAACAGAAGCCCGATGTACAAGCGTATATGTTCCTCGTCTGTCAGTTTTTGAATTTTTTTGGAGGTGTAACATAACTTATAGAAGTAAATAAACAAAGGAGAAATTGTCACAAGATGTGTACAATTAAAGGTACAAGTGAGGTGTATTGTGCAATGTAATTCTTTTGACCGTGGTTATTGCTATCTAATTGTGATAGTCGTGATCTTCGTTGACCCAGCCCTGTATGAGAGTTAGCTGTCGGCTCTTCTAGGGGTGCAGGAGCCCATCGGTTGTTTGGTGTTGGAGATGGTTACCCCTTCCCCGCCCCCCCGACTCCAAGGTGGAGTTTAGTCGTCATATTGTTCCCATGGTGCCCATACCCGTTTAAAGGCTGCCATAGTGTTTCAGACCTGAGCTGTCATTTTGTCCATCAGTTAGTTGTCTCTGATTTTAGACATCACCAGGGATAGTGGTGATGTCTCAGGTTGTATCCATTGTTGGGCTAAGGCTCGGCGAGCCGCTAGGTATAGCATATTTAGCAGTCGTTGTTCGTACCTGTCTAGTCCGTCTGTAGGTGTAGAGAGTAAGCAAGCCCAGGGGTCGGGCTTGAGCATTCTGTGCCACCACCTACGGCCACCACCTCCCTCCAGTAGGTGTTAACCTTTGTACAGTGCCACTACATGTGAATATATGTGCCTTTTTCACCGCATAAGCGCCAGCAGGTGTCTCTGGGGCTGATTTGCATGTGGCATTGCTTGACTGGGGTTGTATACCACCTAAATAGTGTTTTGTATGCTTGTTCCTGCTGGGAGATGCAAACGGATGTTTTTGTGCATGCTTCCCAAATGTCTTGCCAGTCTATCCCCTCGAGTGTGTCTCCCACGTCCGCCCCCAACCTGTCTGTGTATGTTATCGTTCCCCAGGTTCTGGACTCTGCGCAGATGTGGCTATAGAGTAGTGAGATGAGTTTCGTTGGCATGGTTTCTTTGAGGCACATGTGTTCGAAGAACATTAATCTTTTGGTTGTTGCTGTTTTGACTGCGGCAGATTGCGCAAAGTCCCTGATCTGGATGTATCAGAAAAAGTCACTGGTTTGCAGTGTGGCAAGGGATTTTAAGTGGTCGTATGTCACTAACTGCTTGTCAATGTATAGGTGAAAGTAGCGTTGTAGCCCCGTTGCCTCTATGCCCCTGTAGTCTCGTGCCCTAAGTCCTGGTAGGAATGCTCTGTTCCGAAATATTGGAGTCATTGGGCTTGGGGAGTTTGTGAGTTTGTGTTTCTGTGCTACCTTATCCCATAGGTCGATGGAGTTGAGGATAGCTGGGCATGTAGTCCTAATAATCGTTCTGTGTTCTCTGGGCGTCCATATTAGGAATTGGGTATGTCTAGATTTTCAATACATTTTTGGAAGCTCTAGGACAAATATGGTAGGCTGTAAATTGCAGTTTTAAAACGAAGCCTTAGTAACATTAGGCATGCTGACACTTTAACTTTAATAGCACTTACAGAATCCAAAACTACTACAAAAACATATAGATTTGTCGAAAGTAGACCTATCAGGGTATTTAACTATCAGTATTTTGACAGTTTTTATTTAACCATTTTGTCACCAACCCAGTCAAAATTATATAAATGATAAAAATTGGTATATTAAATAATTTTTTTAGTTTGCCAAAATGTGTATAAAATTATGTTATTGATACAAAATACAGATAAGGAACCGCACACACACAAACAATACAGTTTTACATTTTACAAGACTATTTAAAATGGCCAAACTCTGCAAACAAACATTGGAATTCAGTAACAGATAATGGCCACACCAGGGGTCAAGTCCTGGGGGAAAAGGTGTGGGAACTCACCCAAGTGTGTGTGTGTGCTGGATGATGGGTGTGTGAGTGCTGAATGATGTGTGTGTGCTGGATGATGTGTGTGAGTGCTGGATGATGTGTGTGTGTGTGTGCTGGATGATGTGTGTGTGTGAGTGCTGGATGATGGGTGTGTGTGAGTGCTGGATGATGGGTGTGTGTGTGCTGGATGATGGGTGTGTGAGTGCTGGATGATGGGTGTGTGTGTGCTGGATGATGGGTGTGTGAGTGCTGGATGATGGGTGTGTGTGGATGAGGTGTGTGTGCTGGATGATGGGTGTGTGTGATGGTGTGTGAGTGCTGATGTGTGTGTGAGTGCTGGATGATGTGTGTGTGGTGCTGGATGATGTGTGTGTGAGTGCTGGATGATGTGTGTGTGTGAGTGCTGGATGATGTGTGTGAGTGCTGGATGATGTGTGTGTGTGTGCTGGATGGGTGTGTGAGTGCTGAATGATGTGTGTGCTGGATGATGTGTGTGTGAGTGTGTGTGCTGGATGATGAGTGTGTGTGCTGGATGATGGGTGTGTGAGTGCCGGATGATGGGTGTGTGAGTGCTGGATGATGGTGTGTGAGTGCTGGATGATGTGTGTGTGTGCTGGATGATGGGTGTGTGAGTGCTGGATGATGTGTGTGTGAATGCTGGATGATGTGTGTGTGAGTGCTGGATAATGTGTGTGTGAGTGCTGTGTGTGTGAGTGCTGGATGATGTGTGTGTGCTGGATGATGTGTGAGTGCTGATGATGTGTGTGAGTGCTGATGTGTGAGTGCTGGATGATGTGTGTGTGAGTGCTGGATGATGTGTGTGTGTGTGCTGGATGATGGGTGTGTGAGTGCTGGATGATGGGTGTGTGAGTGCTGGATGATGTGTGTGAGTGCTGGATGATGGGTGTGTGTGAGTGCTGGATGATGGGTGTGTGTGTGCTGGATGATGGGTGTGTGTGAGTGCTGGATGATGTGTGTGTGTGTGCTGGATGATGGGTGTGTGTGTGCTGGATGATGGGTGTGTGAGTGCTGGATGATGTGTGTGTGTGAGTGCTGGATGATGTGTGTGTGAGTGCTGGATGATGGATGTGTGAGTGCTGGATGATGTGTGTGTGTGTGCTGGATGATGGGTGTGTGAGTGCTGGATGATGGGGAGGGGAAGCATTTTCTTCTTACTTTATGTGTTTATTTTATCCCCCCCCTCCCTGTTTCTTACCTTGTCAGGGAGGGGGGAGATCGCCTGGTGGTCCGGTGGAGGGAGCCAGCCGCTGCACAGAGGAGCCATCACACGCTGTGTTCCTTCTCCAGCTCTAACTCTCGCGAGACTCGCCTGTGCGGAGCGTTGCCATGGTAACAGCCGCGGGTCTCGCGAGAGTTAGAGCTGGAGGGGGAACACAGCGTGCGATGGCCCCTCTGTGCAGGTAGCAGGGCCGGTCCTGCAGGACAGGTAACGGGAACGGCGTTCCTGCTTTGGAAAAAGTGCAGGAACGCCGTTCCCATGCGTTCCTGCAGGACTCGAGCCCTGGGCCACACCATGTTAAGCCCATCACTTTGTCACAGTACCCCAATATTAGTGGGTCCTAGCTAATTTCAACATGGAAGAAAAACAACTACTTAAATAATGACAGTGCTAAATGAATATAAATTAAATTAAAGTGCATTGATTAATTAATCCAAGTTCATTGTAAATGTATCTCACTCACAATGTGATCCAACACCATTAAAATAAAATTAAAATAAAGTACCATAACTAAATAAGCTGGGGGATCCTGACAGCTGAACCAAAATCTCACTTCAAGAGATTGTGCCTCAGGCATCTGGCTGAACAGACACATATTAGTTGGTATCCAATGTAAGTTCATTGTTAACATATATCACTCAGAATGTGAGCAAAACAATTAAAAAATAAATAAAAGTGCCATAAATGAATAATTAACGTGACCGTGCTTTTATGTATATATTAACAATGCATTGTGATAAATCTGCTCTATATCAAATACATATTAATAAGATGATGCACTGTTAATATATACTTGAAACTGTGGTATATCTAAGTATAAAAATATCAGACAAAAATCTAGAAATGCCTTTTATGCATGTCACTATAAACTAACTACTAATTGTGCTTATTTTTACTGGTATTATCGAATATTCTGTTAAATTATCTACGCACTTCACATCAAATGCAAAAATATTGCAATAGGAATAAAATAGTGTATAAACACAAAGATACAATTAGTATGTGTAACTATATTTAATGGGTAACAAGGACCAACTAATATGTGTCTGTTCAGCCAGATGCCCGAGGCACAATCTCTTGAAGTGAGATTTTGATTCAGCTGTCAGGATCCCTCAGTGTGCTTGTGGTCATCACAATGATTGGGAATAGACTATATTATCACCGGATGATGGCAAAAGAAAAAGGTCATATTTATTCAAATGAATTTACCGTCCATTTAGGTGAAATGGGCATGCTCGTTAATCCAATTCGCATCTTTTGTGTCATTTTTCTAACATACCATACAGCTGGAAAAATGCAGTGATTTGTAAAATACACAGTGTTCTTGTTCCATAAAGATTACTATTTACTTTCGCGAAATATAAAAAGTGACATTTTGCTCCTGCAACCAGAGATTCATTTTTCTTTTTATGTTTTGTGTAACCTAAGAAAGATATATATTTTTTTCAAGAATTTTATAAACAAACTTCAAACACTTAAGCCAATATGATAATGAAATCAGAGGAAAGTGACCGACAATTACACTTAACAATACAAAAATGCATCTTCTTTCTTATATGTATCATGTACAGTGAATTGTTTGTGCAACTCTCAGTCACTATAACCCAAACAACGCCTCACCTATTGCCATCTGTGAACTAATGACTGTTTCATATTAATGCTAAATAAGACCTTTATTTTCCAAAACCTAAGTTCTACTCCTGCTTCAAAATCTTTAATTTAACTTTGGTTGAACAAATTTTAAGGCTTGTTCAAAACCCAGCTTA